CTGCGATCACCGAGTCCTTTTTTGGTTCAAATAAGGCTCTATAATGTCTTTATATGTTGTCTACTAAGAACTAAGAAAATACAAAGCCTATGAATGTATGACAATGTATAGTACATAAACAAGAGAGTATATGAGAGACACATAGTAAATATATAATAAGAATGCATATATAGCAGAGTCAGAAAGAAATCATTATATAATAACAAACCGTATTGTGTGTAGATAATTATAATCGTATATATTTATAACGTAGACATTAGAAATGTATCAATTGTCCCAAATTTGTCTGTTGAGGTGTTAATTTTTAGAAAACACAACAGAGACAAAGAGGCCAACGCGACTATGAGCTTCTGAAAACCGGAACAAAATCTTCCTTTCCGTGGGCCGTGGTCGCCGTCGGTGGCGGCGCAGGTTGTCCAAAAAAATAATACTGTCCAGCCAACACCAGTGTCCCAAGACTCCAAGAGCCCAAAACTCTAAATTCCAACCGATGAAATTGTTCAATTTTGGAGGCTATGATGAAATCCTGAATTCCACGCCAAGTGTCCTCGTGTTTTCAACACCCTGTCCTCCGCGGGCTCCGCCTGTCCATCGTGACCGTGTTTTTCTACTTGGGTTGCCCATAAGGCGAAGGGTTAGGCCGAGTCTTAACGGGTTCTGATATTGCGTTCGGATTTCTCAGCCAATGGGTAAAAGAGGATTTTATAATTTCAAGAAAATTCGGAGAAAAAAATTCCCGAACGAGGACAGACTTTCGAGGGCAAGCATACCTCTAGAAAAGTCGGCAGTTCGTTCGGAAATGCGGGAATCGGAAAAATATGTGCGTAAACTCGCTATTGCAGCTAACAAATGTACTTTGGAAAGGTGCTTTTCCAAAGTTACAAGCAATTTTTATTGGTTGTGAGAGCAATGTGCGTTTGGGTAATTTCTGACTGTCGTCGCATATGTAAAAAGCATCCGGTAAACTACACATACACACAAGTTTATACCACTTCCGTAGTTGCAAGTCATAGGAGGTGCATTTACAATCGATATCTTCGTCTAATACAGTCTCCATCGTACAATAATTGCAGCTACACAGATAAATGACTATGCAACATGTATTGCACGCTTAAAATGAGCTTGTGTGTTCTGTCTCTGTGAGTCCCTCCTGTGAGTCCTCTCTAGAGTCTCTGTCGAGCAAGTGTTTTCTTACCAATGATGTTATCGCGAACATGAGTCAAAATCATGAAATTCTACGTAAATGCAAGCTACCATTTTTTTTTCTCAAAAAAGGTCCAGAAATTGATTGAGGGCGTTGTGCTGAGCCAAAAGGACCAAATATACATATTTGACCTTTCCGAATTTCATATCCGAAGTTTCATATCCGAACGAAAATTTCCGAACTCGTGAAGACTCGGCCTTAGTCCGGAATCCGGATACTCGGGGTGATCATTGGGATTTTTTAATTCGGGATGTCCAAAAGGCAAAATAGCAAGATCCAATCTTATGTTTGGTTGTTTTTGTTTTACGGTTTTATTGGTTTTGTAGAAAAAAAACAATCTAGAAAAACAAAATTCCCCAGTCCCCAGTCCCCACTCTCTCTGACTCCTGAGTGTCAGTGGCCCAAGGCCCAAGCCCAGAGTCCCAGCAAGGCCCAGACCCCAAAACAGGTGTCAAAGCTTGTTTTCTTTTTATCTGTTTTTAAAAAATAAAACAACCCCTGTAAAAAAAACTCTGTTATGCAACTTGTTTTGTATTTCTTAAAATTACTCATATGTCTATTATTATTATAGTAAAAATAGTTGGTATTTACCCCATGGCCCAGACAACTGCTGTATGTAGTATGTACTATCATACTAAATATGTCTATGGATGATTCTGTGCGTGTCCTGGTAATTAGTATGCGAGTGCGAGACTGCGAGTCTGTACCGTACTGTCCATACATATGTACAACGACTATGCGTCATACGACTCTGGAGTCTGGACTCTGGACTCTGGGACACTAATGACACTGGGGGGAAGTCGGGGACTCGGGACTCGGGATTCGGGATTACCGGATTAGGGACAGTGGGTCAGTGGGACTTCTCACTTCCTGTGTTTATTTATTGTTCATTGTTTTTATTTATTTTAAAAACGCCTCGGCCAGGGAGGCAGGGACCAGTGGTGGGTGAGCCGACCGTGGCTCGCGTGTGTTTATTAACTTGAGTTGACACTTGTCACTTGACAGTCGTTTGTTTTGTTTTTGGAAACAAAAATACCAATCATAGCCATCAACCACAATCAGGCTACTGGATCGTGGCTCGTGAGTCATAGCTCTTAACTCTGGCCCTAACAGTGACAACACTATGTCATGAGGCCCGGGGGACAGCCGGACAGGGCAGTTGGGAGTTGGGAGTTGAGGCTGGGGCACTGAGCGACCGGGAAATTGGGACTGGGCCACTGGAGAGTGAGGAATTGGGGTCTGGATTTGGGGACTGATATGAGTAGGAGTGGGCAATTACAATTAAGGTCTGGACTTGGGAAGTGGGGACTGGGGACTGGGGACTGATTTAAGGGGGAGTGGGGAATTTTAAGGGGGAGTGGGGAATTTTAATTTAGGGTCTGGATTTGAGGATTGCTTAGTAGTTAGTAGAGTGGCTTATTGCTAACAGTCCCCAATTCCCCAGTAACCGGTCACCAGGCACCGGTCACCAGGCACCGGTCACCAGGCACCAGTCACCAGTCACCAGTCACCACTGTCACCAGCCACCAGTCATCGCTTTCACACAAGTCAGCATTAACCTCTGGGGGAGCGTCGACAGCCGATCGTGAACAGTTCTGGCACTGCTGAATGGCTGAAATTGTATAAAAAAATGTAAACCATTCAGCGCTCAGTGGTCAGCATTCAGAACTCAACAGTGTATACATATTTTTTATAAAATAAAAGTGGATTGACCAGCCAGTGACCACTACATAGGGATAATATTATTTATTTCAAAAATGACAAGTATGTATGTTACTACATAGTACTTGTTTTTAACACAAAATACATGGTGTTATAGACTTGTAGCCTTATACAAATGTAGGAGTTTGGAGTTTGCCAGTTTGGACTTTGGAGTTTGGAGTTTTGACTTTTGATTATGTACTAGTCTCTAGAGAGAGTAGGGTACTCTAGAGAGAGTAGAGTACTCTAAATAGAGTAGGGTACTCTAGAGAGCACCCATCTGTACCTCTGTATGTAAATACTTTGTAACTTGAAAGTGTTCAGTGTTCACTGTAGTGTTCAGAGTATAGACTCGATATGTATCACTAATTCACTACTCACTACTGAGTACTGACTTCTCACTTCTGTCTTCTTGTGAGTACATTCATGAGTGGCTAATTGGCTGCTGCTTGAAATGACCCCGAGAGTAATACATATTGATTGTTTCTATAGAAAAGTGGATTCAAACGGCCCATACGATGATTCGGCCCATTCTGCGTTGTCTCTGACACACTCTTCTCTCATTCTGAATTCACTTTCCAGAGTCCAGAGTCCAGACTCTGTCAAGTCTTCAGCCCTATATGAATATCCTACATACAATCATACATATGACCCCAGGCCCAGAGGCCCAGCCGGCCCAGCCGGCCGCCCCAGTCCCCCACTGTTCCCCAGGGTCCCCATCAGGATGAGTTGTTGTCGCTTGCCGCTTGCGTCTCACCTCATAACGTTGACGTCATGTTTATAAACGTTCACTTTTAAAAGTTTAAGGGATTATTTTTTAGCGTTGCAACGTATTTTGATATATTTCAACATATATACGTTTGATTTTAAACGTTTAACGGATCACTTAGTTGCGTTGCAACTTAAAACGATATGAGGTTAGGCATGCGTCCATGCGAGATAAATGAGCAGTTCAGAGTTCAGACCTTTCTTAAATAGTTTATATATAAAATAGAAGTCGTCTAATTAAGATTGTATAATATAAAAAGAGGAATTGTATGTAAATAATAGTGAAATACCTTCCTGTTTTTAGTATTTGTTTTTACTCTATTATGGAAACACTAAATCGAAACCTAGGTTCGAATTGACAGTTTGGTGTCCAATTAAATATGTTTACATCGATATATTTTTTTTATTACAACACCAAACCGGGCACACCGGCAGCCCGGCACAGGCAATCAGGCATCCCACTCATTCATATAAACGTAAAAGTGCATATTATTATTTTAACGTCTTATACACGTATTAATATTTTAGGAAATACAAATACGCACATAACTAAAATTAGGAATATTATTGTTTTATTTAAAACAAAATATGCATATTTTAGAAATATGGCATATTTATGGCATATTTTTAATAGTATAGCATATTTCAATTTTTCATACCAAATAATTGTATTTTTGCCATATTTCTGAAATCAACACGCGTATGACGTATTTTATATTGAGCGTTTTCAGTGCATATTTATTATTTTTTTATATAATAATTTGCCAATTTTTTCGCCATATTTTTAATATCGAAAAATATGTGTTCCAATTTTAAATATGTAGTCTCAATTACACACTATACTATTGACAAAAAATAGTCGCGAAGACTCGCATATGCCATATAGATTTTTAGAAAACATAACCTTTTTGCAAAAATAAATAGAAATAAAAACTACAAATTTGGTATATCCCCTCTCTCTCTGCTATTAACTCTCTCGTTGAGATGAGAGAGAGAGGGAGTAGTAGAGAATAGAATCTGAAATGAAAATTTCAGTATGGATGGACATTTATATGACAACGGCCCAAAATGGCAAAAACGGGCCATGAGCCCATGACGTCTATTCCAATAAACATAAACTATATTGCTGTCTCATTGCTGTCACACGTCTCTGTGTACAGCTTTTAAATAAATATATATGCACAAAAAAAGTTCAGACTTGAACTTCACAAACGTGGTGACACTGGTGAGTGATATGTAACGCCTGAAATAAAAAGGAGAGAATAAACGCGAATCTCATTTGCTCTAAATTTCTTATAAAATACTCGCACACACATATGTGATACAACACTTTTCAAACTAACAAAGAATAAGACCTACATAAGTGATTATATATTTACAATGATGTTTCTAAGTTCCACGGCTCTCCTGCTGGTGTCAGCTTTGCTCGTCACGGCGCAGCCCACTGAGACGCAACCCACATATGACATCGCTAGTGCACTAGCATTTGCTGAGGAAATGGGCTGGGATCTAGGGGATGTAACTTCTGAGGATCTATCGGAAGAGACAGTGCCATACACATTGCCTGACGGTTCATCCGCTAACGGTATACTCGTCACACCTATCAATGGAGCGACCACTGGAAATTTAGTCGTGATTCTTGCTGACTGGGATGGCGTAGGTAGTTTTGAGGTAGCCAATGCCGTTCGTTTGGCCGCATTGGGTAATGCGGCATTTGTTGCTGACACATACGGTTCCGAGCAAGCACAAGGTGAGGATGCGGAGCTTAGTAATGAGATCAAGGGCTCACTCGCTGGAAGTTTGAAATCTAATGCAGAAAATTACAGAGAAATCATATCATCGGCAATCGCCACGGCACAATCAACGGAAGGTACGCCTTACGAGGATGTTGCGATATTTGGATATTGTCTTGGTGGTGGTGGGGTCATGGAGTATGCTAGAAACGATCCTGCGAAGATCGAGGCAGAGGGCGTTACGCTAATGGTAGCTTTCCATCCAGGGGCTACCACTTCCACGGATGATTCTAGTATTACTACATCGTCGGAGAACGGTTTCATGGCAACTTTGCTGTTGAACCAAGGTACCGCTGATGCAGGCGCGGTCTCTGCAGACCAGGTGGAATCGGTGAAGGGTGAATTAGATGGAGCAGAATCGTGGTTACTGTCTGCTGCCACGTACTATACTGGTGCTCTGCACGGGTTTACTCAACCAGGTGCCAGTTATAACGAGTTTGCTGCTGAAATGAGTTGGGCAAACGCAATATATGCACTAGGCTCTGGAGTAGAGGAAGATACTGAGATGGTTGCGTCAGAAACTGAAAGTGTACCAACAGATGCCGTAGTCACCCCATCTGCAGACGACGAGACAGGCGCATCAGATGCGGTAGTGTCAGATGTATCTATGTAAAACTTAGAGGCAAAGATGTTTTATGTCTTTTTGGTTGGGATCGGAGGTTGAGGAGATTCAATAATAATAAAGTGCCTACATGGAGGCAAAAATAATGCCTTCTTTGAATCTGCCGAGTACCTCGTTTGGTATGCTTATCATATTGTGTAATTTGTCAAAAGCTAGAAGTGGTTGTATTTTCAATTTATTTTAAAATTCAGATGTAAATGTCGAGTATCAAACAGTCGGGATGTCCCCCTCGGCAGACGGGAATTCAGATGTGTAATATGGAATAGCGTGTAGAATTTGAGTTTGTGCACTCTCTCGAGCCTTGTCTATCTCCAGCAGCCTATGGCTGTCCTTTACCCTCGGGAAGAAAGAAATTATATATAAATTACGTCCTCACAGAAGGGAAGATATTGTCCATACCAAAAACCCTTTCCCGTTTTCAGACGCTCGTAATAGGTCTGTTTTACTACTTATAATTTACAAACATACTATACAATATATACTGTCCTTATTTATATACATACTATACAATATTTACAGTCTCTGTTGTGCTTTTTTAACTTCGACACCTCAACAGGATTGGTGACAACTGCTTCATTTATACCAGTTGACGGCCGCCCGCCGTTTTGATGTTCGAAGTTAGCGAATGGCGAGTTGGCGACTCTGCTAAATGGTGAATGGCGCGAGCCCCGTATGTACAACAGACGAATATTTCACGTAAATCGATGTGCAAATCTGACAAGTGTTTCTTTTTGATACGATTTATTAAAATAAAAAAATCTAAAAAAGCATCCTCCTTTTTGGAGTAAATATTTCTTATAAATACATTCACGGATCAGATATGTATCGATCGGATAAGTAAAGTAAATAAAAACTAGAATGTAAACAACACATTGCATTTCTTTCAATTTTTAAAATACCAGTTTGCACACTGCTGAGTCATGAGTGTTGACTGCACTCGGCACTCTCTTTCACTCTGCAGTTCTGCACTCTGAGAATGCAGTTCTGCACTCTGCACTCTGCAGTTCTGGCTTCTGCATGCTGCACGCTCTGGCTGCAGTCTGCAACAAAGGTCTGATGCTGAGCCCGCCCTTTTATATTTGGCATAGACGCCAACTATAAAAGACGCACTACGCTACTACTAGATATTTCAACAATACATTATCTCTCTCTCTCTAGCTAGAGTACAGTAGAGAGTATTTTGTATTGCAGTATTCAGTACCGAGTCTGAGTAGACAGTACTGGTGTGAGATAATGAAAGCTGTGCCGATTATAAGACTTCGGAGACTGCCACTAAAAGCCGCTGAGATAGCATAGAACTCATCTATTTATTGATAGAGGTAACCGATCCTGAATGATGATTCACATACCTCAGTTTTTTTTTAAATTTCTGTCCGTTGTTGTTGACAGTTGAAGAATGTATACATTGTTACACTTTTTAATATAATCGATTCTCACATTTTGGAGATCTGCAGCAATCTATCATGGATTTAGGATTTAGATAAAACTATAAATAAATAGAGACGGTCTATTTCACCATTAGAAACCACATAATAAACATGAATAGTAAAGCCTTTGGTCAATATCTCAACTGAAAATTCCATCGCAGAGTCGCACACAAGCGATTCGTATATATTGGAACAGCAAATATGACGTACATACAATCAGAGAGAGCCACAAGGAACCTAAGCATGGAAATTGGGGATAATACAGACAAGGCGCTGCTAGTTATGGCAGGACGGGCCTCCACGCCGGGTACATGGGCAAATAATACTGCATTTTCATCATATTGGTTCAGTATTCCATATGCTTACGCTCAGTCAGGCTGGCTTTTGGGCACGTTATTTTTGCTGATTACGTTAGGAAGTTCCTGGATCACCGGACTTATCTATGGGTCGATAATCAATGATCGCTACGATATCTTATTAAGTAAGCGCAATAAGGAACTAAACGCAATATATACGCGAAAGATCGAGGTGCCTCTTGGTATGAGAGAGACACCAATAATGTGTCATCGCAAATCTAACATGACTACTGGGCCGACGCGCGGAGCTATCATGAGAGATGAGAAAGAAGTAGTCGTCAAGGAGACTAAGAGTGGAACCTTACCCAGTGCTACGCCGCTAGACGTGTTGACAACCGAAGTGTACGCTAAAGATGTGACACTTGCTGATCTTTACAGGGATTTGATGGGGCGTGCGGGGCCCGTGATAGGTGATATAATATGTCTGTTTAACTACATTCCAGCCACTGCGGGCGAACTCATATTATGTGGGCAGCTATTACAGCTACTTTTTCCAAATACACTAGATATTGGCTATTGGATTTTGATCGTTAGGTAACAAGGAGTTGACCTCCACTCGATAGTGGTTCCACATCACAGGATGATGATATGCGAAAACAACTCATGTGTGTATTAAGACTGATGTCGGTGTAGTCGCAGACGCACAAAACAACCCACATATATCAGATGATAGATAAGAATTGATTTGAACGTTCAGTGGATGTACCATACTCGACATAGATGGCATCCTATATCCACCTTGTGAGTCATAGAACACAGAGAGTACGGAAGAAACATAAAGCAGAGACTGTGTACACATTGATTCACAAACGTCACAGGGGATATATATTTATATATATCTATATATATATATTTAAATATAGTGCATGTATATATATATATAATATATATATGTGTGTGTGTGTGTGTGTGTGTGTGTGTGTGTGTGTGTGTGTATAAATATATATGTATATATATATATATATAATATGCCTGCATCTATGCTTTATTATCGACATACACAAATAAGAATTGGATTTCGGTTGGATGATAACACATAATAGCGTGGGGGTCTATTCGCCTTGTTGAATAAACATTACTTCAGAAATATATGAACGCACACAGGTACAACCCGTCTTCCAATCCACATACCCGTCGTGGGATTGCAATGCGTTCTTCCGTAGAAAATACCCGCTTATAAAAAAGTGGGGAAGATATCCCATTTTTATTTAGGGAAGTTCCTATTCGTACAGAGCTCTCGGCCCCGGTCCGATCGACTGCTAGCAGACTCGACACTACAAGGTTGCGACTATTGCACATAAACCCAATATACTGAACAAAGGAGGACGCGCTGCTCAAAACTGATTATATTTAGACGTATAAAAGTCTCATTCCTGGAGTGACTATGCTTGTAAGTTTTAGATTGAGACTCGGCAGGCCGGCAGGCCAACTATTGATTGTTTTACACTGCTATTTACATTTGTACTCGCTTCTCTGTCCGTGGCCCCTGGGGATAGTCTTGTGCGAAAATCAGGCTCCCGACATCGGAAATCGTGAATTTCGCAGAGACTCTATTCAGAGGACCATGCTCTGTCCTATGCAATTATCCATGCATGGGAGTGTGGGACATGGATTGTATGTTGACTAACAATAACTGTTAGGCGTGTATTTATGTATTATTTATACATATAAATTTATTTATTTTGGATTCGTGTATGTATATTACACTCGATAGCCTCGTAAATAGTACTTATTCTCTGATCCAAGAGTGTTAGACCATTATATCCTCCCATTATGATTATGTATCTATATGAAATAGTGGCTATCAATACTATATACGGAGATGGAGTCATGCGCTATGCGCAACCAACACTCTTACCTCATATGAAACACTTATTTTCTAATACACCGCACGACAAGTAATGCAGATAAATTTCTTCGCACCCACTAAGCCACGAAGATGAGAAGAAAGTAAGCACTCGCCAACGAATGTTCAGTGAACTCGAGGAGTTGTCAAGCAGTGGGCAAATATTGTACTCCAAAGTCCAGAGTGACTTCCGCTCAAACCGCGCACGCTGGATGCGATACGCCAAGTGGAATACATTAGTCACCACTATAACGACGTAAAATTATGTTTCATACCAAACGATGACCTGCAAATCAACGACTTTTCCTTCGTCCATTCATGGTACGCATACCTCGTATAATTTCGAAAATTCTCACTATTATCCCCAAAAACTCTCACTATTATCCCCAAAAACTCTCACCAATTCCTCCTCCAAGGTAATATTGGATCTAGTACATATGTTCACTTATTGCATTGCCGGTCGTCTAGTTCGGACTGATTTCTAACCGGACGTGTTTCTGAAGCACAATCTAGTCGGCAAAGCCAATTGCATAGCCTTCTAAATTGAAACGGAAGGCTATGCCAATTGTGGTCAATCTCTTTTTTTCTGGTTATTCTCTTCAAAAAATTTACAGCACCACACTCTGAGAAATATCCTCTCAGTAACATACATTGCACGAAGCTAGTTTTCTCTAGAATTGCCAGGTAGCGTAAATAATGATATACAGAATTGAGCAATGGTATGAATTATTCTCGGAATACCGAGGAAGGTGTGTGCTCGTAAGCTAGAATTATACAGTGCTCAGTTGAGATGTGTACAGCATACGATTGCAGGAAGGGTTGCTGTTTTTAATACTGGTGTGAATTAATTTTGTTGGAAAAGTCACTATCCGCGATTGTTCACCCTCCGTCACGCCGACGAGAAAAGAAATGTTATGAAGGTCCGGGTTCGGCCACCAATAGCTGCGACAAACTCTGCAGCTCATTGATCCCTCGTGCGCACACATGCGCCAGGGGACGCTATCAAAGCAAAGTTTATGCACAGCACTTGTTCTTGATCCCTTCGGCCGCTGACTCTTCTCCACCCTTCGCCAGTTTGACACTATTGCCGGATTCGGATCCTGCATCATTATACGCCGGAACAATAGATATGAATAGTAATAAATGGATAACGTTGTTGCTAACCGAATAAATCATGGTAATCAGCTGGGGCCAATATTGCTGCGCAGCCCAGCGAAAGTTAGAGTTTGCTCACAGCTCAAATACTTTCGAATTTTGCATTCGAAGTCTATTAAAAAGGGCAAATTCGTATTAGGCACTTAGAAAATTAGTACCAAGCATATAACTACACACGACGATTGACATGCAGCCTCACAGTCAAATAGAAGACACTCGACATGTATCTGACAACTGTAAACAGCCATGTTTTAGGTCTAGGGTACAAAGCTAGAATACTTTGTCATGATAGAGCTCGGCCCTTTAACAAGGCTAGACCTTCTGCACATAAAGATCTGTACCAAGACATGCATATCTGTATATGCGTTTATAAGTATACAACAATACAAAACAATCCATAGATTAAGTGAAAGTATAAAAATAGATGTATAGAAAATATACATGTATATTATATATTATATATTATAAAATATACATATATATATATATACAGAAACATATTCATATTCATATATATAGCACATCAATGTATATGCAGATGACAACAAAACCAGAATCTACACAAATTTATGTGTGTGGTAGCATGCATAAGTGAATAAAACTCTTCACGCAGTAGCTATACTACGCAGATTAAGGCTAAATTTTTTTTGCGCCTCTTAGAATAAAAAACCCATCTAGCAACAACCAGGCAGACATACCAGCCGGGCCAGCAGCATTCGCCTTCGCGCTATCTATCAGTCTCTTCTTAACCATCTTCGCCAACATTAGGAAACCATCGTCCACATTTGAACCAGTCTTTGCGCTTACTTCCATCCATGGCATACCCAATTCCTCACCCTTCGCCTCACCTTCTTCTTTCGTAACCTGTGGGTCGGTCAGTGCGGCAGTAAGGATGTAGATCTGAATACAAATTTTAATGTGCCAAAGCAGTGCACTCGACGCCCCAGTTCTGTTAACTGGTTTTCATTTGGTAACACTGTCCCGCGGCGCATATATTAAAAACCACCCCTGCCTGATCCCCTTAGCCCTGGTGCGCGTGACTGAACAACGCCGCAGCTTCACACACTTAGTAGACGCATGCGGTTCCTGTACCTGTCGTTTGTCCTCCATGTCCGTTTTGTTGCCCAGCAGTGCCTTGTCAACATCTTCGGCTGCGTGCTGCTCTACATTCTTCACCCAGCTAGCTAGATTGTCGAACGACGCCCGGTCCGTAACATCATACGTTAGCATGATGCCCTGTAAGGTAACAACACATTGAGCACAAAGCAGTGAGTATATAAACTCATGTGGTTAGGCCCGCTACTCGAGCTGCTTTTAGCTGGATTGGATTCCCGAACCAATCTCGGAGCACTACATTGTGGTTTACCGTTCTACCCGATGAAACAATATCAATATCAAAGTGTGAACGATGTGTCAACACATGTAGGTAAGCAAGTGAAGATTGGTGCGATAAATTGTATTATATTCAAGCACGGCAGTCTGCTTACAAACAACAAATAATGACCAGTGCCTATATATAACCGACAAATCAAACGAGCGGCGACCCGCTGAATCGTTTGAGAAACAAGGAGTCTCCCATAACATCGGAAAGCGTATACCCTGACCGCACTATTCTGAAAAGGTCCGAAATGCGGATTCCGGCGCTCTAGACGATGTATCAAAAATAAAAGTACGACTAAAAAACTCCTACCATCGCACCACGGTAATAGGCGGTTGTGATTGTGCGGAACCGTTCTTGGCCTGCAGTGTCCCAAATTTGCAATTTAATTTTCTTTCCCTCCAATTCTACGGTTCGGACCTGCCAAACGGAAGGATGAAACAGACAACTTAAAATTCAAATAAAACTGGAACCATAAAAATACAACGCACACGTATATTCGTTAATGTAGAAAGAACGCCACACAGGCGCGCAATCTGATAACATACATCTAGCACTTGCACATTCCTATCCATGGATGGTGAATTGTACAGGAATATGTAAATAGCTCACGCAAACACCGTACAAATAAACATGTGTTCTGTGTTTCAAATTGTATGTGTATGTAAACACTATAAAACTGAATGCGATTCCTGTTTGTATGTATATAAATCAAACTCGGTTGTACAGATGAGTTTACAACTTGTCATCTTTGCACTATATCGTGTAAAAACATTCGCATTAACGTACAACACAAACACTGCAGTGAATTAAACGTTACAGCATACTGAACCCATTCAAAATACATGCAGAGATATCAATACCTCGACGAAGAAATATAAGCATACGTTTTAAGTCTTCTCATACACCTTTAAACACCTTGACTATGCTAACAAATAATCAAACAAGCAAACAAACAGTATATATATAGATATATAAATGTACAGGTAGAATATATATATATATATATATATATATATATATATACTATATATATATATATATATATATATATATATATATATATATATATATATATATATACTAGTAGTA